TGACAGGAAAACGCAACGTGGGAAGTATTCCCAGAGCTTTTGCGAGATTATTTATTTCACAGCGGTAAACCCGCTAAACCAAACCGAAAAAAAAAACAAAAAAAAAAAAACAGGTCGCAGATTTTGCCGCTGTTTAACCGGGCTTTGTGGACGCTTCAAGGAATTTTCAGTTTTGCTAAAAGTGTGTTCAAAGGGTTGTGTTGTAAAATATAAGGGAGAGCCGGCTATAATGCACTGTGAATTGTGTCACATGGCGATACATGCTACGGCCTGTGGGTGATGCTTGCACGATATTCCGCCGTGAGAAAAAATTGGGTTTACTAACCATTTGATATTTGCCTGTTCTGCCGTACGGATGACCTCTATCGCATCGCGCTCACTGTCGAAATCACGATGAGTAGACAAATCTTTCCAAACATTGGCGTCTGTTCCGGTCTGCGAAGTCAATAAATATGCTGCTGATTGCGTTTTTTTTTTTTAATTCATCACGTTGCGAGCGCAACTTTTGCTCACTCGTCCATCGTACACTGTAAGAATATTTTGTTACCCATTACCAATGTCAAAAAGTTTTCCTTCCGTGATTGATTCGAGAATGTCACAGCTCTCTTAGCCCAGCGGTTGCGATCGGCTGAAAAGGATCCAGAGTAGCTCTGAATCATTTTCTAATTAGATTTTTAACTAATTAATTTCTAATTAATGAATAAGTTCACCCAATATAAGCTCACCGGACGACAGCTTACGTCCAGATCTGTTTACATACCAATGAAGTTTTGTCCGCTGAGCATATTGCCGGGGTTTGAGAAATGACCGACGAGGCTTGGCTTGCTGACCGTTTGTTCCTTGAGCGTTCGGCGAGATTATGCTCGGTGAGATTTTGCCGGTTATATTAAAGCGATAGCATTAATGAGTCCCTAAAAAAAAACAAAAAAACGCGTTTTTTTTAAACAGTCTGGTTGAAACACGCGTAATAAAAAAGATTAACACTACGCGAAATAAACTGTTTTAGAGCAATATTGACGGCGCGAGACGCGATTTAGTCGGTTGTCATCTCCTTTACACTGGTTTTCTCTCTCTCAGCATTTCGGGCGCGTGGGGTAAAGGTGGAGAGGCTTGGCCATCACGTTGGGCTGGAGAAAGTGTATAACCATCTCTGGTTGAATGAAGGGCAGAGGAGAGAGGCGACAACCCGAATTCGTCATTAGTTTTTTATATATGTGAACTCAATCACTGTTGCTAAAGGCGCCGTCATTACAAGCCTCCGTCAGGTATAATGGGGCACATTGGCCGTAATCTAAACCTACCACCTGTAGGATGCGTATATGCTGACACTCAGCTTTAGAGCCACCGAGGCGGCTCCAACTAACTGCGAATAGGGTGTGGGCAAGTACGAGATTTTTGCAATATATGTAAATGTACTATATCATCAAATATAGAGGTGCACTAAACCACGTGGCAAACAATGAAAATATCAACGAAGCTTTTTACCTTTTAGATTCGGTTAGCATTGACTTGACTGCGCTTAATTTTTTTCCTCAGATATTACACAGTTTCTTGTCTTTACTAACACTACTAAGGAAGACCTCCCGCTGATGAAGCTTGTATCACTAGACTACAAAAACGTGGGCTCCCTGAGTGCTCAAGTGATCCACGCCATTGCGACGTCCCTCTTGAACAGCAGCCAGGGCCTCGTGGGCATCGACATCCGCGTCGTTGAGGACGTCCTGGGCAATGAGCAGCAAGTGATCAACATTCTGCAGGTGAGTGACCCGCCGGATGCGTGTCAACATTGCAGCTGAAAGTTAATTACTGGCTCACTAGCTTACCTAGGTTCAGTGGCGTATCTAGGGGCGGGGGGGGGGGGTGGGGGCGGACTGCCCCAGGTGCAGCGCTCCGGGGATGCGGTGGGCAGTGAAAAGGGGGGGGGGGGGTGGCACGGTGACGTGCCACCCTCCCCCCCCCCTAGTGACGCCACTACCTATATTTTAAATGGTCAAACCGGCATCAGTTTGAACGTTTTAAACCACATTTTCTAAAAGGGCATAAGAAATTGAGCATAGAGCAGCAAATACATTTCCCAAAAGCTTTTAAAATAATTTTTAATCGCAGAAATACGAAACACCAGAAACCGAAACGAACCTACAATTTAGTGGTCTGCCATGTTTTGTGATGTCAGGTGCCGTATAAAAACGTCGTCACAGGAGCAGCTTGAGCATGTTTCACCCTGCGTCATAAACAGCCAGAAGGCACTCGCCATCGTCCGTGCGAAATAATGGAGTACGATTCATCAAGCTTGCCTGAGTCAAGCAATGACCAGCAAATGTTTGAAGATTTTCAGCACGATATTGCAGACGCTTCGCCGTTTGGCATTCGATCCGCTGGCACGACATCCGATGGGAGCACCCCTTAACGATAAGATAGGGCCAGAATTTCAAACCCGACCCGACCAGGCCCGATAAAGCCTTGTCCCTATCCCGGCCCGAGCGGGCTTTCTAAACGTAAGCCCGAGCACGACCCGACCAAAATCAGAGTTGGCTCGAAGCCGGCCCGAGCCCGACTTCTTTTTTCAACATGAATCCAACTCGATCCCCGCCGAACCAGACCCGAACTCGGCCCCGAATGTGTTTTATATTAGTTCTACTTTTGTTTTACATGACACCGTTCATATTCAACGAGAATTTCCAATCTCGGAAGTTAAACACAGTTGTGTCTAAGGTCTGCATAGCTATTTTATTTACTAAGGTTTTTTCTAAAACGATGATGCGGACGACAATATTCGGCTTGATTCAAAGAAAAACAAAGGAAATGATTTTAATCCGCATAACATTAGCGTATCAATACGTTTTCGACCGAAGAAAATTTTTTGAAATTAAAGTTAAATTAACTTTATAATTCCCCTGTTAGCATTTGGAATAAGACTTATATTGAATTAGAGACAAACACAGGCAAACAACAAGCAATACGTTTAAGAAGTACGAGCCGTTTTTTGACCTCCTGTTGCTCAACGCCAAATCAGATGACAAATGTCGTAGCGTTTCAAGAGACGTGTATATAATGAAGAGGATGAATGATGTTACAGAGATTTTGTTGAAGTCGTTTTTGACACAACGAAAGCTTATTCACCTCCCAATTAAAACAATTAGGAAACAAATATTAAAAGTAATGAGGTACATGATTATTTACGCATTAGCGGGAAGAAACAAGATGTTATCTACACACACAAAGCACGCATAACGACAAGTTACACGAGATCCTCGTCATGATGCGACAACTCTAGGAAAAAAACTAGGCTTTACGCGTGATGGCAGAGAAGACCTAGAGGGAGAACGCATGCCTGAGGACACAGCCTCAGCAGAAAAGCAACGAGATGGAGTGGGAACCGGAGATGGCTTCGCCACCTGTGAAGAAGAAGATTGTCGTTAGAACGGGGCAAGAGGCGCCGCTGCAACAGGAAGTTAACAAGCAGGTGGTCGAGTTGATGCGCAACCCCAAGTGTCTGACCCAGCTGGCTAGGCACATGGAACAACTACGTACGGCGCAATTCGTTAGAAACCAAAGTGGTGAACAGTAAAAAATACATAATTTGTCTGTGGAATCGCCGCAGGTTTGGCAAAAAGAGGGGCAACCTGCAACAATACGTGAACAAAAAAGACGAAAAGGAACGACGGGTATGATTGCCTCACAAGAGGCGAAGCAACTGGCCAAACTGTCGGGTTACAAGTCCTATGGCATTGATATTAAGTAAAATACGCAAGAGGTCACACTGGCCAAGAGAAAAATACCGGTCGTCGTTCAAAACACAGGCGTTTCGACGGTAGAACACGTACTAACCGAGACTATCTCGGGGAAGAAGAAAGTCAAATTTAAAGTCAAATTTGGGGGTTTTACGTACCAAACCAACGACGGGCATCTGGCACGCTCCGGCGGAGCGGTGCGTGCCAGATGCCGCTGCGGATAGCCCCAGCGGAGCGGGGCGTGCCACATGGGGATCTTTTGACGTGCAACCGAAAGGTCGGTTACACTCTAAAAAAAAAAACGTGCCAACTAGCACCTTTTAGGGTTCTTTCGCTTGTCCAATGGGCGGCACCCTTAAAGGTGCAGAAAAGAACCCACAAAAAGGGTTCTTTCTAATGAACCCTATTTCGGGGTTCTTTTCGGATCGTTTATTGGTTCTTCTTACTGAACCCTATTTTCGGTTCTTTTCAGAACGCTTCTGGGTTCTATTTAACGAACCCTATTTCGGGGTTCTTCTAAGATCCTTTTTTGGTTCTTCCTAATCAGCCCTATTTCGGGTTCTTTCCCGAACCCTTTACGGTGCTCTTGATAAACCCCATTTCGGGTTCTTTCCAGAACCCTTTCTGGTGCTCTTAATGAACCCTATTTCGGGTTCTTTCCAGAACCCTTTTTGGTGCTCTTAATGAACCCTATTTCAGGGTTCTTTTCGTATCCTTTATTGGTCTTCTTAATGAACCCTATTCGGGTTCTTTCCAGAACCCTTCTTCGTGCTCTTAATGAACCTAATTTCGAGGTTCTTTACTGATCCTTCTTTGGTTTTTCTTTATGAACCCTATTTCATGTTTTATTCGGAACCTTTCTTGGTTGTTTAAATAAATCCCGAGTTCTTTAGATTATGTTGGCGTTATTTTAGTAAACCATATTTTGTACTTCTAACCCTCTTTTATGACAAATCGTTTTTTTTTTTCACATTCCTAGTCAGTTTTAGTAAATCGAATTTTGTATTTCTTACTCCACAAGGTGATTTTTTTTCTACCAACAAAAGTGTCTTTAGATTGCTCATTAATCGCTAGCACTGGGCCTTTTCGACAGGTGGACAAACATCAGTCTGGCCAGCGTTAACACACTTCATTCCTGTACGTCATTAACTAGGTGACAGGCAGAAAAGTAAAGATCATGTCCATTCATATACTTTATTGGGGTCGCGAAAATTGATTCTTCTGTTCGCAGTAAAAAAACTAACAAAATTTAAAACAGTTTTAAGACGAGACGGGTATCACTGCCAGCAATGGGCACACAGCTTCTACTGTCGTTCTGATGCCGCTCACTGTCAGGACACCGTCCAAAAAGATGTCAAATTTATTTTCCTGGAGATGGATAAGTGGCATCAGTGTCTGGACTTCCTAGAAGAAGAAAGCAAGAATATAAACACATGTATTTTCCTCCGTATAATAATGCTGCGAGTTACTCATTCGCCGCGCTTTCAGATCAATTATAATTGTATAGGTTTCGCTAAACATTTCATTTCTCGTTTAGCCTTACGCTCTAAAACATACCCGCAGATGTGATTTCCTTTAAAACATTTAGTGGGTCAATCATGTGCGATCTAGAGAGCGCGGCCAGCGGATGACGAAGCGTCCCCTTCGAAGCCCCCTTCGCTACAACACTGTCGGTAAAAGCGAAAAATGGCACGCAGCATCAGGTGTTCCCTTTCCAAGCAAGAAGTAGTAAAGGAAGAAAATCGGAAGTCGATGAGTTACAATATATGTACAGTATACACGTCAAACAATGCCCACCGTGCCGCCGCATTTTCTCTGCTCTTAAAAATGCCCGTGGGTCCACTTCTCCTGAGAATACTCGAGAGGCCGATCAATGCAATCTACGAAGAAAGCTCGGCCAATGAAGAAGCTGAAAATATGTTTTGACTTAAAAATGAAGTCTGTAACGTGACAATGAGCATGAAGTCAGTACGTGAAACGTCATGCTCAGTGACATCTCTCACTTCATTCATATGTCTAAACATGCTTTGGCCTTTTTATTCGCCGAGCTCTCTTCGTGGATTGGTGTGATTGGCTTCTCCAGAATTCTGCGGGAAAGTAGATGCACAGGAATTTTAAGCATGCTTCAAAAGCGTTGGTTTTACCCATATTTCATGCTTCTTGCCCTGTAGTCAGTAACAGGTTAAGAAAAAAATCTACGAGCTGGAGAGGAGGAAGCGGACAGGAGCTTGTAGGGGAGAGGAGAAACCTTCTCTACATTTCAAGCGTCCGTCGGCTTTCTTCTTTTAGATTTTTCTTAACCTGCCATTGACTTTCGTCGCTAATATTTTCTTTAAATTATTTTCAGAAAATAAAGCAATGATTTGCTTTATATTACTAGCTTGTATATTGAAAATATAACCCTGACAAGCTTGCACTACCGTCTGTGACAATGGACTATGCTCGGGGGTGACTTGGGCAACTTTTTTGGCAATGTAGTCGAAGTTAAAAACGCCCGCGCATCTTGAGCTCCAATCAAGGCTATGCAAACGCACTCTTCACTTCAGAAACGCCACAGAAAGTTCTTTCCGAGTATAAGTTAACCCGGTCTTAAACGAATGGCACCTATAAGCGGTCATCAGTTCGTAATGAGGTAGTAAGTTAACCCAGCATATTTATGGTGGCCGAAGGTAAACCTCTGTGCCGTCGCAGTCTAAAACTTGTCATTGATTACAAAAACACCGACTAAAGGGTACCTTCAAGCAGCTCTTCGAGGTTCAGAGCGACGTTCTTTTCCTTTGAGGAACACCAGTGCAGAAGCTGTAAATCCCTCCCTCTTGGCTCTCATGTCCTCCGGATGTCTTTGCCGAACGGCAGTTTAACGTCTTGTAGTAACTGAAAAATAAACAACGAATAGAGAGTGTTGCTGGTTTACAAAAGTACATTTATGCGCTATAGATTTGTACACACGGATTGTTTACACACACACAGAGACACACACACACACACATATATATATATATATATATATATATATATATATTAATTAAATGACCACTTACTTTCACTATAGTGGAATAGGGCTGGGGGTCAATTAAAATAATTTCGATTTATGTTTTTTTATATTGATTAATTAATCAATTTATAGGTCGCGCTGATCTCCGGGCATGATATTGTATCTAAGGAAAGGCCTAAAACAACCGATTTTTTCTTTGACAACTTTTTACTACATCTTATAATGGGTACTACACAGCAACTTGTCATTGTGCCTCATACAGAAGTAAGGCATGGCAAACATTTAAAATAAAATATCCGTACATATTCGTACAATAACATGTTTAAATAGCAACTTGCCATTGGGCCTCATACACAAGGAAAGGATGGCAAACATTTAAAATAAAATATTTGTACGTTACTTTTTAAACTTCAAACCCACTCTAGATAATAATCATATAAAGCACTTAAGTAGCCATGAGAGACAATTGTGTTATAAACACACAAAAAGAGTAAAATGAGTATTCTTCTTACTTTTTTTGTTTATAAGACTTTTCGTAACTGTAAATTCAACCAATATGCCGATTAAACTCACTTGATTTAGAGTAAAACAATAGTTAATGAATCGGAATGTTAAGTAATTCATTGCCTAGCCTTATTACGAGGTAAAATTATATCATTTAGCAGGTATCAGAAGCCTTTATCTCGTTCACAGGCGATAAAACGGGTAGTAAGAAACTTTTGAAGTTCTGATGACCTGTAAAAATCACGAAAATTTAAGACTTAATATAAAGAAGACAATATTTAATTACCATTCCGGGAATCGTCATTGCCGGAAATTCCTCAAGGACTGTGAGGACTCCAGCCTCGCTGAGGATCAATTCTTGGCTAGACTGAAACGTCCGCATCATGCGGTCTTGTATCAGGTCGACGTTCAGAGGCACTTTAGTTATCTCTTCTTTCATGAGCAAGACATGACGGCGAACGCTCACGGCGTCTTCATATTTGTCAGTACCAACGAATCCCTAAAACAAAAACAATTTGTTACGTTGATGCGCCGTTTACGCATGTAGGCTATTTACATAATAGTTGCAGCACTGACTATAGGACCACGTAAAACAGTTATTTGTATCAAACATACGTCCACATTTGTGCAAACACAAAATGCACAAAAAGTTCGCGCTTGTCGATTTCCGCACAACACTCCGAGAGCCAATTGTTGCAACCTGCGAAGTCCGCTCAGCGAATGACGACGCGGAACATACGTTTAGACCAAGAAATGAAGTCTGCACTGTTACATTAAGCAATGCAAGCGGGACGTTTTGAATTCCTTAATGTCACAGCGCAGACTGCATCTTTGGGTCTAAACAAATGCTCGGCATCGTCATTAGTTGAGCGGTGCCGTAAACTGCAGTGATTGGCTCTCGGAGTGTCATGTACCTGGCCGGTCAAAAAACAGAAACGTTTACAGCACCTATTCGCTCGCGTTTATTGGGGCCATAAATACGGATACATTAGCTAATTAAAGCCCGGTAACATAAGTTTTTACATTTACGAAGAGATATCATTGCTCATTTCATTCGCGCTGTAAATTCGAAGTTCTCTTCTTGAGATCTTTCTGGCGGAAAGCTTGAACTCAGTATTTTGTCATATTATATAAAGTCAGTATTGCAGTAATGAGATCAGTGTTCGCTTCAAAAACGTTTTTTTCTTGTGTAGTTTAACATACAAGACTGTCAAAATATTGTGTTTTCTTTTTTTTTTTTTTGCAACGTGCTTGTTTGGACAACTCTAAGCCAAAATAGCATAAAAACAAATTTCAAACGACAAGTAGCTTAATTAATAAGAAGCCGCCCCCTGTCCTACTTATTCTGCCTATGCATCAAACAATTTCCGGCCATATTGAGCACTACTGTACTTATAGCGATTTTCAATATAAGTTACAAATACTGCCTGATTAAGAAAAAGTTTTACCTTGAAATGATGAACAGGCCGATTGCAGTTCGTTTTCAAAAAGCCACCTGCAGACGTCTCCAATCGTCCATGTGCTCACGTCCGCTGACATGTTGCAAGTGATGGCTAAGAGGAAAGGGAGGAAGGTACTTCCTTCTAGAGCTTCAAACCCAAAGGGAGAGGAGGTCAAACATTGTTCCGATCCTCCACTCGTACGAGCGAGTGCTGGCACTCCCTCGAGCAACGAAGCTAGATCCTGTTGGCTCTATTGACCTTCAGCGACCCATCCCTGTTCACCGCTAAGCTGACAGCGTGGTGGGAGCTACGTGCTTGCCGAACCAATTAGTAGCCTGGTTTTTATCACCTGACACATTTCTCTGCGGTTGTGATCACGTGGTGCAAGACAGAAGGTTCACTGGTCAAACGAGCATGACGATTCCACCGAACTGTCAGCCTAGTGGTGAGCAGATTAACCGCCGAAACATCGCTTTTCCGTCCTGTCTGCCAGGAAACAGGGCGATCACATCACCAAGCATGCCCGACAACCGCCGGTAAAATTGTTGGCAGTTTACTCTTTTGCCCAAAAGAAACACAAAATAAACAAGAGCGAAATTCTCGATTCGGTGTGACACCTTCCGGCAACGGAAACAAGCAACAAATTGTGTTGAGCATCGCGTGTTGGCCTATTTGGTGGCTGAGCGACTTTTGTGCCGGCAATACGACAACGCACCTATAAAGATTCGATGATTCAGTGTCCGGTCAGTGACGTGTTTTTTTTTTATAGGCATTTTCCAAAATAGAGGCCTGGAAAACAAGATTGAATGATAATGGAGCCTATTGTGGAACTGGAAAGAGAAGTGACAAAGCAATCAGACAGAGAGAAAAGATGTCGTTGACAAATAATTTTTATTCCAATCGGAGCGACCTCTGAACTGCCAATTGCCATTTCTGAACAAATATTAGCTCAGTTAAGCGCCGCGTCACGCAAATGCTTGGGCGTGCAGTCGGCGCTTACCCCTTTTACACTAGAAATGGGATTCGAAAACACAGAACCAGCCCGAGAATAGAAAAATGGCCCCGGACAAAATTGTTTGAATAGTAAACCCGGACAAAATGGTCCAAATAAATTTTGCCGTATTTTTTCTTGCTCCTTATTTTTATTAGCTTTAGTCGGTACAATCCCAACATATAAAAACATAAATATTCGCATAATGCAATACATTTTTTGGGGGAAATAAGCATTTCATTACACAAAGAAACTAGTTGTAAATGTGCGCTACGTATGGCTTCACTCAAAACGTCTTCTTGTAGCTCTGTTGAACTAACGAGGGAACTCCTTTAAAGTAAAACATTAAGTTCACAAAATGTAACTGTACCGTACCGATTCAAAGCTTCGAGCGGGATATCGGAAAGAGTTGTTTTAAGCAGTAAAATAGTTGTTGGGCTAGTTGTTTGATCGGAATAATAAAAAAGAGTGCTAAATAAACGGTACAAAGTCGAAGAAAAACAAACACGAGACAGGTGCCTGCCCTGTGTGTGTGTTTATCCAACATTGTCATGTCTATATTGAGCTTCTTTTTTTATAGTCTCTACAAAAGTTGCATTATAAGAGCATTGAATGTACGCTTAATAAAACTTCATAGTAGCTCCTCATTAAAAGATGAGTGTCTAAAAATCACTTCGGACCATTTTGTCCGGGGCCATTTCGTCCAGGGCCATTTCGTGCGAGCCCATTTCGTTCTGCATCCTACCCATGCCATCTTGCTCGCGAAAACTGCAAGAACAGCAGCGACCACGTCTCTGTTTTTTTTTCCTCATGCCATCCCATTTTTCTAACTTTTGGTGGGCGACGTCGAAGTAGCGAGCGGGGTTCACCGGCGGACGGAGCAGTCATTTTGTACACTGCATTATTATTCATAAATTTGAACGCACAACATATCGAAGTTTAGTTTTGCTTCACTCAATACGCACTTATAGAATATGCCTATGAGATTATTTCGGTGTATCGTTATAGACATAACTGCCCCTTGAAATCTAAAAACCACCATTCACAGGTTGATTTATTTCTGAAGATAAAGATGACTGGAACAGACGACACTAACCTTCCGCGCAGCAGGATTTTTGATGGCACTCGCGGATTGGTCCCAACTCTATTTTTGCGGCTTGACGCGTGCCGCGAAACAATCAGAGGCGCCGTATTGGGAGACGGGCGGCGTCATGACCACAAGCGAGGATAACTGCATTCTATACTAAAAAAAAAAAAAAGTTTTTTTGTTTTATTTATTTTTTATTTATACGCGCGTGTACATTGTTTAAACACGAAAGCAGGTTAAAAAATGGCTCTTGTTACAAAAAAAAAAGCGACGCCGCTTAATCACCGTATCACTCATTCAACACGACACGCACTTTTTTGTGTGTGTGTGTGTGTTGCTCAATCACGAAGTTTTACGCCTTTGCAAATTTGTATACAGTTTTTTTGGGAGCAAATAAAGTACACATTCGATTTCCGCAGGTACAGATTTCTTCAAATAAACTTTAATTCAATGACCCGTTGGGTTTAACAAATGAGTACCAAAGATTAGCTTAATACTAACATTTCTTACTAAATAAAACACGGCTAGCAGTTCCGTTTGCAAACGAACGCCAGTGTTCAGACCGCTGAAGCAGGTGGCCCGAAAGTCAAAGTCATCGAAGCTTGTTTCATCTGTGGTCGGAGGCGAAGATTATCTCGGCCTCAAATTGCACTCGACTTGGTAAATAACTACGACATTCCACCTCTCTAAGCTTTCAAGGACTTCACAGCTCACACGGGCAGCTTAGTTTTCACAGAATGGCACACCCAATTCTCGCGTGCAAAGCCTTTCGAGCCTGGTCATTGTGTCCCTCTATCCGGAAGAAGACTTAAGCGACCTTCGTTTTCCAAAGATCGCTTTATCTCTTTCCTGGCTGCAACAAGAACCCTTTTCGCTCTTTCCAGGACGGAAACTAGCTCTGCATTTCTTTTTTTTATTTTGCGAGGGGTTCTTTTGGTTGAGAAAGCACGCTTCATAGGGATCTTCCCAAAAATCGGTTCTTTTTTATCGAAAAGAACCCTTTTTTGCTCATTTGGCTCCTTTTTTTCTGAGAGTGTACACGGCGCCTCCTCCGCAATAAGCCTGCATCAGATTGCGGGCACCTCAGCCGGGATACGAACCCGCCACATGGGGATCCGTAGGTCAGCGCTCTCACCTCGGAGCCACTGAGGCGGCTTGGGAAAGAAGAAAGTCCAGCGCAGCATCTTCGTGCTGAACTTCTACAGCAGCCGGCGAAACTGCACAAATTCGCTTCCTTCTTCCCAGCGACCCCGAACATCGCCAGACGCCAGACACTGGTCGTGGTTGGGGACTTCAACTCGCAAAATTTGGACTGGGGATACAAGGTCGAACGACCCAAGGGCCGGAAACTGGATCGACTCTTACAAATGCGGGCTATCCCTGATTACCGATCCGGATCATCCGACGAGGAGAGGAGACGCTCGACAACAAGACACTACGGCAGACCTCACGTCTGTGCACTAAGCAAAGGATGCAGGGTGGTCAAACATGTGGGAAGACTTGGGTAGTGACCACTACGTGCTGAAGACAACGATCCGCGCGGGCCCGGAAAAGCCGCGGGCAGAAATTGCAACATCACGGAGTAAAACAGGTTCTGAGAGCTGCTAGACGAATACGAGACGGAAGACGTCACAGACATTGGCGAGTGGATGGAATGCCTACTGGCTACTGCCGAGAGCACAACCGAGGTGATTCCGGAAGAAGCGGACGTGGCCGCTGCGGATAGCCAACTCTTACACTTTGGGAGGCTAAGGCTAGGCTGCATGAGCCGCAGCGCACGCACCGGAGAAATCGGTGCCTTCGGAGAAGGAGCGCTCAACTCAGCAGAACGATCGAGGCGTACGCTGACCAGGTTACGCGGCAACAGTGGCAGGACACCTGTGAAGGGTTCGACGGTCAGCCCAATGTACCCAAAACGTGGAACACACTGCGACACCGACTGGATCCGGACGGTAGTAAGACGGTTCAGAGTAGC